ATGGGTCCCGGGCGCGCTTGGCGCGGGCGATGGGAGCCTGGGGTAGGGGGGCAGGCCTGGTGGCCGGGCCCGGGGCGGCGCGGGGCGATTGGCGAGCCTGGGGGACGAGGGGCGAGGCGGGGCGGGCTGGGGCGCCCGGCGATTGGCGCCTGGACGGAGGCGGGCGACAGACGCTCGCCCCCTCGCCCTCCGCTGTGCCGGCCGCGGGCGCCCTCCAACGCTGAGTCGCCCCGGGCCTCGGCTGCGGGCGGCGGGCCGGGAGTCCGCGGACGCAGTGAAGGGGCCTGGGCTGCAGGTTCGGGGCCCCCGCGCACCGCGCAGGGAGCGCGCGTTCCCGTCTGAAGAGTGCGCTCCGTCCGCAAAGGAGAGCCCGCTTCCAGTTTCGCGCGCAGCCGGTGCCGAGTCTTTGCAAGCGCGGAGTCCGAGCCCCGCGGTGCGGTCCTGGAAGCCGTGCGCGCCCTGCCCGGAGCGGGAGCTGGAAAGGGGAAGAGAAGACTGGGGAGCGTGCACGCACCACGCGTGGCAGCATATGCACGCGCAAGGGCACAGCGCGTTCAACGACACCACGCAAGGGCCACATGCAGGCAAACATGCCACACGTAGGGGCACGCACGAGAATCATGCACACGGCAAGGCAATGCATGGCAGAACACGGCATGGCAACATGCACACGGCAAGGGCACATGCAGCCAACACTTCATGCAAGATGCGAGCACGGGCAAGGGGCGGCGAGAGGCAACATGGCGCACACGCAATGGCACATGCAGTGGCAACATGGCACATGCGTTGCAACGCGTGCAGCACCCAAAGGCATACGGCTCCCTGTTCCCAGCTTCCAAAGCTGCCGGTTCCCTCCTCCAGCTGCTTGGGCAGGCTGAAGGCGGCTGCGCTGGCACAAGGGGTGACAGGGAAGGGGTCCTGGAAAGGCTCAGCCTAATATTCGCGCTGGCCTTGCGGCACCCCAGCCAGGGAGAACACGGGCGTTTAGCTAGGCGAAGGTCGTTCAATTCCACCGGCAGCATGGGTTCCGATTGGGGCGCACAACAGTAGAGGCGGGACCAATCCTGAGGTCCTGGTTTTATTTTATAATGTTGATGATTATCATTCATGGAATTTTTGCAAATTTTTGATTTTTAAAAATAGAGTGTTCAAATGTTATCATGCTTGATGACGCGTTTGAGTTTTTTGGGTGCTCCCTTACCATTTTATTCCTGAAGGAGAGTACCTGTGCATTGCAACAGCGAAGAGCGTCCTGGAGAGAGTTGTGTGATATAGTTTGGGTGGAGGCAAAAGCCTGATGGAGTGGGTAACACCTGCTTGTTAAGTGGTTTGTGGGTGTTTCATAAGATATACTACATTGGTAAAGATCTCTGTTGAACCTGCAGGGAATGGTAATTCGTATGAATTTATCTCAGATGTCGTTTTTTGTTAGATTCTTGTCCTGGTTTATCATCTGTTTTAAACCTCCGGGGCACCTAAGCATAGTTGGGTGTTTCATACATATTTGTTATGTAATTATGCAGGGAAATTTGGGTTTACATGACCTTTACGTGTTTCCTTTGTTCTCGTATTTGCACGCGAAGAGATTGAAGAGCTTATGGATTGCACCCATGACGTTGGAATTTCAAACGAGACCGGCAGGTGTTATAAGGTCAATGATGTAGCTCTGTCGGATGGTCTTGGTGATGATCATGTGAAATGAGAGGACAATATAAAACCCTGTGCTCAAGAGTTGTTATGAGGTTCCAAGATACCTAAACATGGTCCAGGCGATGGGCTCACGCCTGTAACCCTAGGTTTTTAACCCCCCCCCAACCCCTCTGGGAGGGCGTGGTGTGGCAAGGTCAGGAGTTCGAACGAACGCTTGAGCAAGAGCGATGACCCTGTCTTTCTACTAATAGAGAAGATATTAAGTTGGCCCAAATCTTAATTATATATAGGAAAAATATAACCTGGGGTCGTGGTTGGCCGCATGCCCTGGGGTCCCAGTACTTTGGGGCGGCTGATAGTTGCAGTAGAGGATTGCGCTTGTGGCCCAGGAGTTGAGGGTTGCTGTGGAGCTAGGCTGGACGCCAGGCACTCACTATAGCCTGGGCAAAAAGTGAGATCTTGTCTCAAAAAAAAAAGGCCACTAATCTGTGGTTCATCCCTGTGAGCGTCATGCAGGCTTCAGGCAGTCCTGCGGCTGTAGGTGGCTGAGAGAGATAAAAGCCGTTCCTTCATCCACTCACCCAGGGGGAAGGCTGGACAGCGGCCGCGTGGAGCATTACAGCCGGCCAGGCAGGTGCACAGAAAACAGTGGGTTTACCGGTGCAGGCACATAACAGTAGAATGCTCCATAAATGGGTCGTTTATTGATTATTATCTTATTCTCGGCCCGCCATCGCTTTTCTTGGTTCTGACCAGGATGTTCATATTTGGCTCGTCACAAGCGCTCCGTATGGCTCAAGTCATTCCCCCCTCAAACATTCTTCTGCGTGTAGTCCCAATGTTGGTTTTTTCCGCCCACACGGTTGCCACCATGCTCCTGTTATGAAACTAGAAATGCATTCCTTTTATTTACATTTTTTAACAGCTTTGCTAGATTTCAGTGCCACATGTATTAGTCCTACACTATTTAAAGGGTACAAGTCAGTGGTTTCTAGTGTAGTCACAGCTGTGCATCTATCACGTTCGGACTTTAAGAACGTTTTATCTCCCCCAGAAAGAAGCTTCCTGTACCCTAGCATCACACCCTCTGGTTTCCCCCATTCTGCTCCCACCCCCCCACCCCCACCCCTATGTATGCAGCTTTTCAATGTGCTCTCTGGCAGGCAAGGCCTGGCCTCAGTAAGGGAGGGTGGTCGGCCATGGAGCAGGACAGCATCAGGCTCCTACCAGCGACCGTTCAGGGTTCAGAGGTTTGTGAGTTCCATCGCTGGTCTGTGGCAAAGGTCTCGCTTGTTATAAAATGAAGTTTTTCTGAATGGAGGCATCTTTAGAAAACTCAATTAACTAACCAATTCATTGGGGGCGGCATGATTAGGACTGCTTCCCAGCGCTCATTATATCTTCATTTTTTCAAGAATAGCTAGAGGAGAAGATTTGGAATGTCCTCCTAACAAAAAGCAAGAGGTGGGTGTTTGGAGCTCGTACGGTCACCCCAAACGTTCTCTTCGATTGATCGATTGCACGCATGATAAGACTATTCCAGTCACTAGCAATATAAGACCTTATTAGCTTTAATCTTTTTTATACCATGAGATGTTGGTTCCTTTGTGAGTTTTTCAAAAGTTGTGAGCAGAAATTCATAACAGCAATGAGAACATACGATTACTAAGCTGAGCATTGTTGTGAAAAAGCGACTGATTAAAAGCAACGAAATTATTGTTAATTATTGCATGTGTGTAACGTCTCCTGTAATGAAAGGTGGTTCTATTGTTTACTGGATAAACGTAGTCCAGGTATGTATTAAACTCTGCTCTTAATGAATTTTCTGATTACAAAACTACTGGTTGTCCATCAAGTGTGTGTACCTACACATAAGGCCAAACCCTCCTCGTAAAAAAAAAAATGCATTTTTAAGCCCAAATGTATGCATAGTGGGATGTGAAGTATTAAGGCGCCGGCCACATCCCCCGGCGGCGGCGGCGGCGGCGGCTGCGCGGCTCCTGCTCCGCTCCTGCTGCTGCAGCTGCTTCCCAGCGGAAAGGGGCGGGCGGCGGCGGCGGCGGCGCCTCCCTCTGTCTCCCGCCTCCCGCCTCCCGCGCCCAGTCCCTCTCCCGCTCCCTCTCCCGGGCCGCCGCCTCCTCAGCGCCGCGCGCGTCTCCCATCAGACTCCCCGCCCCCAGTGCAGCGCCGTGCGGGCGGCGGGGCGGCGGCAGCCAGAACGAGGCCGGGCCCTTTGGCGCGCGTCAGAGCCTGCGCGGCGCCGAGCTCATTTCGCGGTGGCACCGAGGCAGAGCGCTGTCTCGGGGCGAGAGGGCGTCTGCGGCTGAGGAGCCCGAAGACCTGGCTGACTCTCAGCCGAAATGGGGCCGGGTTGCTTCCGGACCCGGGAGGCTCGGGGGAGGCTTTCGGGACTTCTCCCTCTTCCCGCTGGGCGCGCAGCTGAGGAGCTTGCCGGCTTCTTCCCGCTCGTCGGCTGCTTTTTTATCCGAAGGGAAGCGTATACGATAAACCTTCCCCGAAGAAGGAATAGGTGATAGAAAAGAGGAAGAAATAAGCATCTGTTGCTACTGTCCCCATTTTGCTGATGTGGAAACTGAGCCTTGAAGGGGACCAAGAACCTAATGAAATGCACCCAAGGTCGCAATTGTAATAAAGAGCCAGAAATAGGGAAAAGACAAAAAGTTCTCCAGGCTCTCAAGTCAAAGCCATACGGAATCTGAACTAAACGTTCTTACATAAGATAGCCCACAAAAAACAATGAGCTGACATTAATTTTTATTACAAATATTTACTGAGAACATGCCCGAAGCCTCTCGCTGCTCCCAGCACTCAAAAGACCGCATTCATCCCCCTCCCCACCCCTGCACGTCCCGCGATAGTAAAGAGAAGAACAGAAGAGATAAAGTTCCTGCTGCTAAATCATCAATACGGGGGGTGGGGCAAGGGAAAGAACAAGTTAGAGTAGACCTGGTCACTACTTTCAAGAAATTTACAACTCCAGAAGAGTCCTTAGGAAATGCAGTGTGAATTGAGAATAGTTAAAAGGTGACAGAAATAAAACTAAAGATCATAGTTAGAGAACCACATACCAGACACTGTTACAGCCTTCATGTGTGTCTCCTTTCATCTTGTCAACAGAATGTCTCAAAGAGAGAATCAGTTAGAAAAGAAAAGAAAAAGTTTATTTGCATAGATGCAAGGGAGTGAGAGTCCAGAAGGACTGCCTTGCCAAATAAAAGACAGAAGTTTTAAAGATTACTTAGTGTAAGTAGAAGAAAAAGAGCACAGAAGTAAGATGACTTTATGTGCACTGGAAGGGAATCTAAAAGAAGGAAAAGTTGGAGTGGTAGCCTGGGGACAGCAAAAGAAAAAGCCAGGGAAGGAGGAGAATTCCTAATTGGTGTGTTGTGATACCATTTCCTGAGTCTTTGGATGAGTTACTTTTGTAAACCTCATTCTCCTCTTCTGTGAAATGCTGGCTGCAAGGATGACTACTACAAAGTGTTGTGGTCAAGATAAAATAACAGAAGGCAGCTGATAGGTCAGTAAGTATTCAACAAGTACTGCTTGAGATCCTTATTTCTTCTTCTGCATTCTCCCTAGGTTCCCTTTCAATTTGATCAGAAATCTATCATACCACAAGGCTGGTGAATCCTACACGTGTTAAAGGTAACCATTAAGCCAATAAATAGAAGTGAAGGAATAAAACTTCAATAGTTCTGGTCCCAATTCGGATTGTAAACTTCACAATTAGATTGTAAACTCCCTGAGAACAAGGAAAAGTATTTTCTTTTTTGTATCTCCCTCAGCTCTCTCAAATGTTTGTTGAATTATTCAGTGCAGCCAGGAATAAAAAACCCTTCCCTTGAGATTTTCCCTCAAAGCCAGAAAAGTACATCTTGTTTTTAGCTGAGGGAGGAGGCTGAAAGTAAAATTACAGTCTTAAACAAGAAGCCATCTGTCTTCCTTCTTTATAATCAAGGAAAGGGGAGTTGTTCCTCTTAGCAGAGTCAATATGGGAGCATTTCTCTCGACTATAAAAATCTTTTTGGCTAGTGCAATTGTTCCATGTAGTAGCTAGTGCTTATTTTGTAATTAGAACTGTAGAAGCAGAAAAATACGTAACAGACTGTGGCAGTGCTTCATAAAAATGTATTTTACTTTTTTGGAGATCTCTTTCCTAGACATGGATGTTGGGTGAATATGATTGAAAGGGAGCATATTCCATTGTGCTTGACTGATCTGAACTCCAATTTTCCCTTTAAGGGTTAAGAGAACTAGGATTTCTAAGGTTCTGCAAGGTGCTTTGTAAATATACTAATTATGTATGTATGCACCATATATGCATATGAATGTGATGTTTTAAAATTATATCTCATCATTAGCATAAGAGAAACTAACAGCTCCTGCATTGATATTCTGTACCTTCTAAGAACAAGTCTCATTCCCATCCTCCTCATGCCCAAATAAGCTTCATAAAAGGAGTGATTTACAGTGATTTACTGTTCCTTTTCACTCTTTCTCATAAACAAGTACACATAGCATTCAATGAAATTAAACTACAGCAAATTCAGAAATCACGAAATAGAATTTTTTTTTTCTCTAGCCAGTGATCAGGGGATAGTGATCTCACCACCATGAGATGTCATAAGGGCAAACCCCTTGGGAATGGCTTAGATTTGTTTTTCTTTCTCTTTTGGGAAAAGGAGGAGGTTTAAAAAAAAAAAAACTTATGTGAGAACAGCATCTGCACTAACCAGGATAAAATTATAAGGTCGATCAGTCTTGGTACTGAAGGGTAAAATCAGATCACCAGCTGAGCCAGCCAGAAATGCTTCCCCGTGGTCTAGTATTGCATAATTGGCCGTGTGAATTCCAGGGTTTCCAGCCTCAGATGGAGGGCTTGGTGCTGGTCACTTACTGAGGGAAAACATCAAATTAATGGTCTTTCTAATGATTTTTAATAAAGCCTGATTCATTTTTCACATGATTGCAGGTTTTTGGGTGACAGAAATGTAAATGCATCTATACATGTGTATGTCTATAACTGCTCAGAATAGTCCTCTAAAATTTAAAACTTAAAAAAAAATGGCATTTGGTGCTTTGGCAGTGTTATTTACATTTTAGCACATACTGTGTTCACAGCCACATCCCACAAGAGCATATTCCCTTTTAGCAGAGCCCGAGCTTCCAGATCCGCCTCACAACCTCCTTCTCCAAGGCGTTGGCATATCACCCCTCATGCAACAAAAGCAAAATCTAATTGTAACCAAGGGCTGTAACTGCTCATTCATTATCAGAGAGGCAAGAGCAGGTCTCTATTTGAGAAATATATCTCAGCCTTCCTGTTAAACAGAGAAGTTAGAAACCCACCTGAAAAGGCATGTAACAGAAAAAGATAACATTGTTTTCAGCAAGACTCTGGTGAGATTCATAATCCTTAGCTCTGCAACTTTGTTTCTGCCCACACTTGTAAATTGATGTTTCTCCAGTGTTAATTAATAACTCGGGCTTTTATTTATGGTTTCACTTGAGTTTTTGTTGCAAGATCAGGTAATGTATAAGTTCTCCTAAAAATGCTTGCTATGAGCTTGTATTTAGAGGAGTGCAGCATTACCCCTACTACTTTTCTAATTGATTTTTTAAATGTAATCATTCAATTCATTCAATAATTTTCTTTATTGACTGCTTTCTATGAGCTAAGCATATTTGATTTTGATTGAGTAGTATGTGCTCAAACATCAATACTTGGGAATTTGTGCTGTTTCCAACATAAAACTAGTGTTGTTTTTTTATTTTGTAATGATGGGGTGAGGGAGGGCAGATGGAAGCAGAGTTATGAATATTAATTTGAGAAGCAAGTAAGAAATTTCTAAAGAAGAGAAATCTATTTTTTTCACAATATATTTCTTGAGCCATGAAAATGAGCCAAATTCCTAGCTAGGTACCAGAGATTTAAAGATGGATAAAGTACATTCCTTGCCCTTAAGTAACTTACATCCTAGTGGGGTAGAAAGACATTTAAACCACAAATCAGGATATAGTTTGAATATGATGACAGGAATGAGTCCACATGCTATATAAGCTTAGAGGCGGTCCACAGAGATCAATTTATTGTTTTTATTAAAAAATGCTACATTATGTTTTTTTCCTTTGTTAATCCTTTCTTACATCCACTAGACAAGGTCCCAGTGTGTACCAAATGCCTAGAAAAGAGCTTGATATCCAGAAATATTTCTTCAACAAATAAATGAATTTTGTGAATGAGTTCCTAGGAATTTAGATTTATAAATGCCGAGAATATCTCAAAGGAGAGGCTTTCTGCAATATTAAATGATTATTTTTTTAAATGCTTGATTTTTTAAATAAAACTTTTGGTATAAGATATATTTATTTTTACGATATTGGAAGTATAGAGGGCTTTTCTTTGGATGGCTCTGGCCTAACACCTTAGTAAAAGACAGAATTAACTACATAAATATTTCAAGACTCCTACATGCCAAAGATAACACAAATAAACACAAATGATAAACAGATAAATAAGACTTGCAAAGTCTGTATAAAATGTTCACTTAATATGTAAGAAATTCCTATTTTAAAAAAACACTAACAGACTACTTCACAGAAAAATGGTCAAAGGACATAACAGACAAAATCTACAGTGAAAGAAATACAAGGTCTAATAAAATGTGAAATGCTGCCCAACCTCACCAATAATAAAACTGTAAGCTTAAAAATTAGGAGATATCATTCCTTACCTAACAAATTGGCAAAGATTTAAAAGCTTAATAATAACTAGTTTCAGGGAAAGCTACAGTACTTTATACACTATTGATGGGGATATAAATAATTACCCTCTTTCTGGAGAGAAATTTAAGAATTTGTATAAAAATTTTAAAGATATATTTCTTTTAACCCAGCAATTCTTCTCCTGGGAATGCCCAACAGCAATACAGTCTTGTTTTCAAAAAGGAAAAATTGGGCAAAACTCTAAATTTCCATAAATAGAAGATTGGGTAAGTAATTAGTTAAATAATAGGAAACACTATACAGCTGTTAACAAGTATGAGCAAATCTGTATTCACTGACATGGACCAGACATAACTACAATATACCATCAACCAAAAAAGCAGTTTACAAAACAGTACTATGGTGGAATCCTGTTAATGTAAATTGTGTGTGTGCATGCTTACACATGTGTTTCTGTGTTTGGATATACATGAGGTAGTGAGGAATATATACCAGTGTGTTACCAACAGTTGCCTTTGGAGGGGAGATGGGGTTAAATTGGGGTGAAGTGGAGCAATACCAAAGAGAGACATTTTCCAAATTACAGACTTCTGAATTGTTATTAATTTGACAAAAGCATGTATTGTTTATTAAAGTCTATTTAAATAGTTTAATGAAGTGACTGGGGGTAGTGGAAGAGGTTCTCCCAAAGGACCTATTAATCGTGAATAAATGAATAAAATGTACAGTGTCCAGAGTACAGAGGAAGAACAGATCACTAGTGAATGCAATGATTAGGAAAGTCTTCATAAGTGAAGTGACATTTCAGCTGTTCCTTGAACAGATAGCTTTGGATATGTGAAGGTGGGGAGAGAAAAAGAGAACTCTAAGGTGTAAAATGACTTAAGCAAAGGTGCAGGCTTAGAAATGAATAAGATCTGTTGAATGTTCCAGTTATCTATTATTGTATCACAAGCCAAACTAAAATGTGATATACTAAAAGAACAACAATCATCATTTCTCACAGTTCTGGGGACTGGGTAGGCTCAGGTAGGCAGTTGTCACTTGGGGGGCTCTCATGCGGTTGCAGTCAGATTAGGGATGAGGTGGGATTTATCTTAACATTTCCTCACTCATATTTATGGCAATTGATTTTGGCTGCTGGATGTCGGCTAGAATACCCACTCAAGGTCTCACCACATGACTTGGGCTTCCTCGCAGCATGGTGGTTCCAAGAGTGAGCATCCCAACAGGACCAGGCTGTCATTGCATTACCTTTTAAAACCTGGCCTTAGATAGCACATAGCATCACTTACTGTAGTCACAGGCCCATTCAGATTCAAGAGAAGAGATCAAAGATTCTCCCCACTACCCCTATCCTTGGTGGAAAAAATATCAATGTCACACTGTAAGAAGAGCATGTGGGATGGGAGATCTTGGCACAAGCTCTTCTGTTTGGCACAGTTCCCAACACTCCCTAAAGTCTCTTCTGACAGAGGCCACTTTCTCCCGTCTACATGACTCCCTGGCATCCATAGGCCTTGGAGTTTGTACCTTCTGTAGATAAAAGGAACCAGAAGATTTTGAGCAAAGTGACAATAGAGTGAGCTTTTTGCTTTAAAAAGATCACTGTGATGATATCTTACAGGGAAGACTAGAGGGAGGAAAGATTAAGTAATAAAAACAGTAGGTGCTAAAGCTATGCCCCTATTCCTCCACTCCCCTACTCAATTCAGCAAAATGATGCCTAAGTGTGATTGACAGGAGTCCTCAATATTTTTTACTAAAGCAGTCAGTCTTCAGAATGCTTCCAATGAGCCTCGATTCATATAGAACCATGCGTTCTTATGCCTGACATGCAATTTCTAGGCCATGGGAAGTAATTGAACTTTTTAAGAATACCAAGGTACCACTTCAGGGATACTAACTGATATTTCTCCCACTGAGCAAAGGACATAGACTCCCTGGAAATCAAGCCTGACTTGCCCACCAACTCACTCACTGCCCAAGTGGTCCAGCAGTTTATCTCCTAGTGTGGTACTGCAAAGAAACATGGAAGGGAGGGGAAGGAGAAGCTGTGAGGTCTGCACAAATTGCTGGACTAGCAAGTTGAAGCTTAGCCACGGTCATTCCCAGCTTCCCTCAAGTCCCGTTAAGAGATTTGTGTCAGGCAATGAAAATTGTAGCATTGCCCTGGTTTTTAAAGTTTCTTTCCCAAACTATTATTATTTTATTAGACAAACTGTTGAAATCCACCTGTTCTTTGTCTTGGAGCTCCTCTCTTCCATTTATTTTCATTGGTGCTAGACAGAGTCATTTTCCTTAATGCTGTATAATTTAGAAGAGGCTGTGTCAATTGCATAAAATATTTCTAATCTCCATAATTAAGATGCTGCTGGTCTGACAACTCTGCTCTCTTACTTCCCCTCAGCTAGTTGCAGGCATGTAGAAAGACATTTAGAAGAGTACTAAAGCAAAAGTGACATGCTGTTCTCCTCCCGAAGGGCCTGCTCATGACTGCCACCAGCCTCCCTAAGCTTCCTTCTGCAGAGTTTCATTTATGGCTTCTTCAAAAGTAGGTAAGAGGCCGGGCGCGGTGGCTCACGCCTGTAATCCTAGCACTCGGGGGGGGGCCAAGGTGGGTGGATTGTTTGAGGTTAGGAGTTCGAAACCAGCATGAACGAGACCCTAGTCTCTACTAAAAATAGAAAGAAATTAATTGACCAACTAAAAATATATACATACAAAAAATCAGCCGGGCATGGTGGTGAATGCCTGTAGTCCCAGCTACTCAGGAGACTGAGGCAGTAGGATCGCTTGAGCCCAGGAGATTGAGGTTGCTGTGAGCTAGGCTGATGCCACAGCACTCTAGCCTGGGCAAAAAGTGAGACTCTGTCTCAAAAAAAAAAATAATAATAATAATAATAAAGTTAATCTTGTACATAAAACATTAAAAAGTCATTTACTGGGCCAGGCGTGGTGGCTCAAGCCTGTAATCCTAGCACTCTGGGAGGCCAAGGTGGGAGGATGGTTCAAGATCAGGACATCAAAACCAGCTTGAGCAAGATCGAGATCCCGTCTCTACTAAAAATAGAAAGAAATTAATTGACCAACTAAAAATACATATACAAAAAATTAGCCAGGCGTGGTGGTGCATGCCTGTAGTCCCAGCTACTCGGGAGGCAGCAGGATCGCTTAAGCCCAGGAGATTGAGGTTGCTGTGAGCTAGCGTGATGCCACTGCATTCATTCTAACCTGGGCAACAAAGTGAGACTCTGTCTCAAAAAAAAAATAAAATAAAATAAAGTAGATAAGAGAAACTACACCAGTGTTCTCCAGACCACCCTCTCTTCATTCCCGGAAAATGCATGCCCCGCCCTCAAAGTAGATTAGAGAAAATCCAGATTGCCCATTCTCATGGTCTGCCCTTGAGGTCAATTCCCAGTACAACACTTGATGCAAAATAATCACCAATAAATCTGGATTGAACAATTAAATGACCAAATTCTGTGGTCAGAGAGAAATTTAGAAGTAAGAAGTATTAGGGCATAATTAGTGGTAAGGAATCTTTGAAAATAATATAGTCCATTTTCCTACATTTTCAGAAAGACAAAAAAAGAGAGATAAGAATTCACCAAGATTCCCATATATTCAACTCTTTTTTCCTGCCTCTTGATAGTTTGATAACATATTCAGGTGTGGCATATAAAAGTCTATTTCACCTCACAGTAGGTCTAATAAGCAAAAATCATTATAGCTGTTTTAGAGATGAGTAAAATAAGGTGTGTTAAACAGTCTAGATCAGGTGTCCTCAACTACTGCTGGCCTGTGGGCCACATGCAGGCTGCCTAGCACATTTATCCGGCCCTCCGGGTGTTTTTGGCACTGCTGCCTGTCCTGCTTAGCAGCCGACTCATCCCGAGCCCACAGTGCGCACTCTCCAATGATCTGAGGGACAGTGAACTGGCCCCCTGTTTAAAAAGTTTGAGGACTCCTGGCCTTGATAGACTGCATTATGCTGCTATAACAGATAAACCCTCAAATCTAGGTGGTTTAATAGAATAAAGGTTTATTCTCCCTCCTGGTATGTATGACACAGGAATTGGCCCTACTGGGGTGAGGTGGGGATGGCAATGTCTATTGCACATGGTCTCAGGTGCCCAGGCTTATGAGGCTGTAAGATATTTTAGCTGTACCCTGTGTAAGCTGAGGTCTTCCAATCTCTCAGGAAGAAGAGAGGATGGGTAATTACCCATGGATTTTTCAGTGCTTCAGCCCAGAAATGACACATATCACTTTTGGTTGCATTTTATTAGCTAGTGCTAGTCACACATCCTTGCATAATTGAAGGGGGAAAAAATGTAGAAGACATGGATTATTTAGTAAACATTGTTGTCATTGCCACTACTTTAAGAGATAACAGTGTGCCTATTCTGATAGCTCTTAAGAGGCAAGATTAGCATCCAAACCCAAGCTTTCTGATGCCAGAGCCCATACTCTTAACCACTGTGTTTTCTTTTCCTAACTTCAAAGAGCTGTTTTGTGGATAGAAGTGGCCATGGCATGGGGAAACAGCTGTAGCATAACTGAAGGAGCCCTGGTCTTGAGACAGGGGAGTTAACATCCCAATTTTACCACTTACTAGTTGTGACAGCTTGGGCAAGTCCCTTAGCCTCTCTGCTAAAAGAAATTTCCCCATCTATGAAATAAGAACAAAGAGAACTCTCATTAGATCAATGTAAAGATGAAAGTCTGCGAGCCTTCATGACACATAAGACACCCACAATGAACGTTTGTTAAGTCATAATTCTTATCATTTCTCCTTCCTGCCCCTCTTCCTATCACAAAAGTGCCTTCCTAAAACATAAGGCCTTCCATATTGAGGCCTTTGCTAAAAGTTCTCTTGAAATTTTGCCAGAGGAAACACTTTAGTAACCTGATCCCAACACTTTCAGCATTCAAGTTCTGATTCTATTACCAGTCCTTTTCCTGACATAAGCAATTTTGTTCATGTGTTGCCAAGCACAACTCATTCATGACTTCAGGGAAAAGGAAGGATAATGTCACAGTGGAATTAAAAGTTGTGGCTTGAGAGCAGTCTCACATTTAAAAACACTGTAAATGTTGGAGCCTCTCTGGGAAGTAAATGTCAAGGCACGTGTAATGTAGCGAGCACCAATGCCTTCAGGTATCAACCTATTGAGAAAACCCATTTGGTTTATCATTGCATCTTCGCCCTAACTCCGAAAATCAGCCCTCTATATTATCTTAATATTATTTAGAAAAAAATTAAATGGCCATTAATGTGATTAGGTAATAAGAGAAAGTGTCTCATTTAGAAGGCTAATGGACCTTTTTCTCCTGGGAAAGGAAAGTAAATTGCTTCCTATTGGAAGGTGCATAAACTCTTTCAGGCCCCTGGGTAATTGCTTACAAAAGTATTGGTACAGATAATTTACAATCTAGGAACCAAGGTTCATGGCAAAAGTAATGAACTTCCCCAAAGCAAGGCTCCTTTCTCAAAAGGAGCCTGAAGGACAACAACCTTTATTCTTCACTTTGTCTTTCTTGTTAGCAACTCAAACATCCTGACACATTGGTTACAATCTTGGCCTCTAGAGTCAGACAAATGAGGTTTTGATAACCAGTTCAGCAAATTACTGGGTGTGGGACCCTGTGTAGCTTATGTATGTTCTCTGAACTCATGTGTCCACATCTGTGTCATTGCATCATGATTATTAAATGAGGGAGAGCACTTTGCAAGGTTACAGTGGTGTGCCTGGCATGTTTGACACCGGGAATGATAAAATTATTATCAGTAGTCATTTTCTTAATTTATTCTTTACTTTCAAGGCAATTAACAATTTAAAAGGATACATTTCAATTTTTAAAAATAAAAATGCATGTTTGTATGAACTGAAATTGACACTTACTAAACAAGCTGTTACACTTTAAAGTTCACACAGTTTCAACTGTTTTAAGTTTTTTTTTTTGTTTTGTTTTAAGTTTTAAACTCAAATTAAAAGTTCAAATTGTCACATTAGAATGATTAGGTTAAATTGAACCAGTTTTGCTTCTTCAACTTTAGAACCACTGTGCTATCATTGTTTATTTACATCAACTGTTTAAATGTAGAGATATATTGTAACAATGATTACTTTTTAAGAAATAAGTAATATTAAAAGATAAGTAATACTTAATATTCTTTATTAAGAGATAAGTAATACATTTTTGCTAATTTGAAGCATCTACAGCTCTATAATACATGCATATTATGTAAGTATATAGATATTCTATAATCATATCTATAAGCATATTTATCTCTATATACACACACACATATTATTAAAACTCAACAGTTTCTAAGATAGATTTTTTTTAGGGAAGAGTATTTTCATCACTGACATTGTTTAAAATTGTGGGCACATGGTGATAATAAAAAATCAGCAGACTAGGCTTTATTGTTTTTTCAGATCCTCTGCCGACAGGGCACCCCCTCTTGTTGGACCAGGCTAGTGACTCTCGCTGCTCTGCCCTTGACATACCACTGCAGGGTTCCTGGTAGATAGTCAACACTCTACACCAGTAAACTATTATTATTTCACTACAATTTTTTTTAAACCAGACAGATTCCTAGGGTTTTGCTTTTGTTTTGTAGAAAGGGAAACAAAGACATGGAAATGTGACTTAAGTCCCCAATAAAAGAAGTAGCATTGTCTTTTAAAAAGAGAAATATTTTTCTGTGATAATAGTGGTGATGCTTTTTAATTTAACAAATATACAAAAGTATTTTGAAAGTATATACAAAAGACAATAAAAGCCCCTGTAGTCATGTTATTCAAAGATAATCACAATCATTTATTGATCAATTACTGTATCCCAAGAGCTGTACATTCATTCCATTATTTTAATCCTTACTATGAACCTATTAAAGTAGTTTCTTTTTTATACATTTTTCATATTTTTTTATAGAGGGGATAACTGAGACCTACAAAAGTTATGTAAGTAGCCCAAGGTTGTAAGACTGAGTTTATAACTGGCAAAGCTGGGATTCAAACACAGCTCTCTTTGACTAAAAGCCTCATTTCTTAACTCTGCTGATTTACAATTCTGTGTTCTCTGCTGACCATTATTAATATTTTGGTATATTGCCTTTCAGTTTCTCTTCTCTCTATATATGTGTGTTTTCTAGATATATATGTGGGGTTTTTTTTTTTAACAAAATTGGGATCAGATTGTGTACAATGTTTTCTACCCTACTTTTTAACTGAATGTTGCATTATAAGAATTTCCTGCATCATTATATAGGCTTCAAAAGTATGATTTTCAATGCTGTGTAATACTCCATCATATGCTCCACCATAGCTGAATGAACAAATCCCCTAGGGTTAGACTCTATGAATTTTTACTTTGAATAAAGTTCTTGGAAATGTAAAGTGTTACAACCTTTCTGAAGGTCAATTTGGTAATAATATATGATGAGCCTTACAAAGCTCTTATCTTTATAACCTCACTTCTTGGAATTTATTCAAAGGAAATAAACAGAATTGTGGTCAAAGATTTATGAATGAGGATGTTT